ATGAAAGTACAGTGCTTCTGAAGCAAGAACAAATAAGATATCAAGCTTTTTTAAAATCCAAAATAGGGATTTATTGTATTAAATAGCAGATGCAGATACAGATACATGGAACATGTGTAAGCAAAAAAAAAAAAAAAGCCCCCAACTCTTCCCTCCCACTGTCCATCAGGCTCCAGCTTCTGTTGACTGGTCTTCCCAGTGAGTGTTCAGCCACCGCTGTAAAACAGGAGGGAGCAAAATCATTTTCAAGCAGATGAATATCTCCATAGGGCCTATCCCATTTTAAATAGAATGATGGTACTATATTTACTTGCATACTACACAACCCTTTTTCCCAAAATATAGCACCCCAAAAGCAGCGGTGCATCTTAAGCAGGGAAGTTGATTCTTCCCACAGTATAAAAGCATTCTACTTTAAATTCCTGCTCCACGGTGCAGCAGCAGTGACATTACTATTCAAGTAGCTGAGGGAGTCAATTCACTTAATGGTTCGTTGTTCTTCACTGTACAGCTGTTAATGACAGTCTTTCCTTTTTAATAGTCTTGACATTCTGCTAATCAAGCTAACTTCTCTTAGGGCAGTTTTGCTGTATGCTAGCCCCTCTTGGTGTCTCTTCTCTTATTTCACATCCCAGGACACTTTTAACTCTGTTCAAAATTATAGATCTACATATGGAGACCCGTCTTTAACAGCAGCTAGGGATTCAGTTTTTATTTAGGCAAGAAAGGGAAGGCCAGTCAGCTAGACGTTAGGCTCTCTCCCTATTCTGTGCAGCCACAACTTTGGAAGAAGTCTTTTTTGTTCTTCATTCTGCCTTCCCAAAAAGAAGTTGCATATGTCTTAGGGGGCGTGCTGCATCCAAGAAAAAACAGTATATTGCAGCTATGTTAAAGTAGGACGATAACCTGCTCCAATTTATTTACTCTTTATTCAAAAACATTTTTCTTGACCTGAAGGGCAGTTAGATGGCATTAATGTATACAGCTGATGTTAAGGGTTCTGACTAAATAGGAAAGATATCTTGAAACGGATCTTGTAAGACAGGACTCCTGCTGTAAAAGGTGACTGACCCATTTGTGGGCATGGGTTGAAAGCATAACTACAAGCTGTGGGTTAAAAGAATGTAATAAAGTGTTCCAAAGCAAAATATTAATACTGTACAATAGTCAACTACCTTCAACATTAAAAATATTTCAATTCTATTTTGAGCATTTAGAATCTTTATTGTGTTCTGCATTACATTCTTTCAAAGCAAAGCAATACAAGTAATGCAGTAGTGCAAAACTGCATACTGCATAAATGACTGGTTATTTCACTAATGATATGTGCTAAGGGCATTTATACACGTGCTCCAGGAGTTGCGGGAGAGGGGGCGCTTTAATTACACCAGCTTCAAGCATTGTTCTAATTAAAGTGCCCAGAGCATCTCATGTATCAGCATCCCCACACTGAAAAATGGTGGCAGTGGTGTTTAAACTAAAGCTCATTCAACAAACTTTAATTAAAATGCCCCCACCGCCATTTTTCAGGGCAGGGACATTGATTATCAAGTCTGCTGGAACATGGTAATCACCATGTTCCAGCAGACTCCAATGTCTTGTGTATCAATGTCAAGCTTTTTCTTTTGTACATAGAGGCTGCTTCAACGTGCTGTAATTACAGTGTGTTGGAACAGCCTTACTGCATGTGTATAGGCTCCCTAACAGTATATACTGCACTATCCCAAGTATTCAATTCACTTTGGTAAGTTTTTAACTACAAATTGAAGAGAACATCAAGATTAAGCAAATTCCAGAGAGAAGCTATCTGCTGTACTGCACAAACACACACTGAAGAGTAGGATTTCAGTTTTTCTGCAACACTATAGCTTTTAATTATATCATTTTCTGTCACTACAAGTAATGTGTTGCAGAAATTATTGTGATTAAGTCTAAAACTGTAAAATATTTTGTCCAACAAACAGAATCTGAAAGCAGCAACTGATTTACTGATCAAATTCTCGAATGGTTTGAAAAAAGACAAACACCATGTAAGACTTCAGTGAATGAATCAATACAACACCTGACTACATTCCTATAAATACTAAGCTAAATAAACACCTAAGCAGTTCTGTTTGTTTCCTTGACATTAAATGTAGTTTCCAGTTCTCTTAGTGCAGTTTATACTTTCATTCAGAAATCCTGCCGCTATCAACAACATA